ACGAGGACCTGCTCATCGACACGCAGGGCGAGTGGGGCCAGGTCCCCTGCCGGGTCTCCGGGGACCAGATGACGTGCCAGGGCGACACCATCGCGTACCCCAAGCCGACCATGGTCGACGTCTGGGGCTGCAACTCCGGGCCCTTCGCCAACCAGGGCGACCTGCTGCACCAGCGCATCGTGGCCCGCATGTGCGCCGCCTTCTACCGCACCGAGCTGCTGCTCGACGGCGGCAACGTCACCCCGTCCCTGGGCTCCGAGAGCTACTACACCGTCAGCCCCACCTCGCACTACAGCCGCCTCATCCACCAGTACGAGGTCGACCAGAAGGGCTACGCCTTCTCCTTCGACGATGTCAACGTCAGCAACGAGAACCAGGCCGGCGTGCTCGCCGGCGCGGACCCCCAGCTCCTGGAGGTCTTTGTGGGCGGCGGCCTGGTGGTTTGAAGATGGGGTAGATAGGGTAGAAGGAAGGAATGGTGGGGGAGGTAGCGAGGGTGAGATAGGATAGGAATGAATGCTGTTATATATCTTTTCTTTTTATTGAAATAACTGGAACGTTTGATGCCGTTTTGCTATCTTTGCTTTGCCCAATTTCGTGATTTCCTACCCACCCAGCCACCTCATTACAGGCTTTGCTCGTCGTGGAAGAAGCGTCAAAGAGGTTCCGTAGATGTATGTACGTGTGGAAGTTACAGGATGGCTATTGTTGAATATGGATGGTGTGATGGCGAATGTGTGATTTAGGACAGCTCCAGTGGATGATATGTAATATTATTTGACTTGGCGTATCAACCCAGATACCGAAGTAGTATAATAACATGATGGGGATGAGTCACAATGTCTATGGGTGTCTGGCGTAGAAATATAGACAGTTGAGTGTCAACAATGTGTTATGTTGGTTAAAAAACCCTGGACTTGGCCCTATGCCGATTTTCACTTCAAGATTTCATAGGAATAAGCCCCGGCAACCTGCTCCCCTTTGCTGTGCTTAATAGGAGTCATATATGGTACTCCACTCCATGTGCTCAAAGCCTGTAGTAGAGCCTACACCAAGGAAACACAAAGGGACACAAAGGATATGTAGATAACCGCTTCACAAAATCTAGTTATCTTCAGACAACTAAGCAAGGCTGATTATTCACCAGGGCAAGGTCTAAGTTCCTGTACACAAGCATGTACTTCGTAACACCCGCATCTATGTTGGCTGTGCAAAGCTCAACTGAAGGTACGACGACCAAATCTCGGCATCAAATCTAATCGTATATGCCGTGCAACAGCAGCAACTGACAAAGCAAAATCAAAACACCTCCCTACTTTATCCCAGTTCCCTTCCTTGATAGAAATGCAATTTTGATCCGCGGACTCCAGCGCTTGGGCGAACGTAACGTGTGGCGATGCCAGCAAAGCAATGCCATGCCATGGATGTGGCTCTGTATTTCGATACCTGAAATATCTTTAGACTTCCACCGTGATCTAGTGGTGCGCTTGCGTGACCTCGATGGGGTTCGGGTAGAAGGCGGCGGCGACGGCGATGGCGATATAGACGATGACGCAGAGGAAGCCCTCGAGGTAGTCGGACTTCTGGTCGCGCAGGAAGTTGCCGACGGTGATGATGGAGATGATGAGCATGGCGACGTCGAAGATCTCGAAGCTGAAGTCCATGGGCAGCTGGAGGCCCCAGCCGACGATGACGACGAGCGGGGCGTTGAGCATGGCCGTCTGGATCGTCGCGCCGATGCAGTGCGACAGCGCGAAGTTGACCTGGTTGTCCCACGCCTCGTCGATGGCCGTCAGGTGCTCGGCCGCCTTCTCCACCAGCGGCACCAGGATCAGGCCCATGAACGGGTCCGACACGCCCTGCTCCGTCACGATGAAGTGGATCTCGTGCACCAGCGCGATGGCGATGAACGTCACCAGGGCCACCGAGACGGCCAGGGCGAAGATGCACTCGGTCAGCGTGAGCTTCTCCTTGTGGATGTCCTTGTGGGCGTCCTCGTCCCGGCTCTCGTCGTGCTCGAAGACCGCGTCGTAGATGCCGTGGTGCGAGCGCATCTGGAAGAAGACGAAGACGACGTAGGACACCAGCAGGAGGATGGCGATGATCCGGGACAGGCTGACGGTCCGCTGCGAGAGGTCTTCGGCCGTGAGCTCACCGCCGACAAGGGACTTGTTGAAGATGGCGGGGATGGCAAGACCGAGACCGCTGTCGCGTTGTTAGCATCTGTCAGAGATAGCTGGGTTGGATTGTACAATAACTGAGAAAAGGGGGGCATACGCAATTAGTAGCAAACCCGATCCCACTTCGCTGACAGCCGCGTGGAAAGTAGACTCCTTCCTCCTCGTCCCCGCGGCAAAGAAGCAGAGTCCGAGACAAAGCAGCATAGTAGCTAGAATGGAACCGAGGATCGCAGCTTGGATGACATAGTACTGCTTGGCGACAAGAAGAACCATGAACAGAACGATTTCCACGACCGATCCTATTCTGCATCCGGAGTATCAGTCAGCATTGTGGTCAATTGGCACGTCCTGAGAGAAGCGTGTGGGTGGGCGGGGGGACTTGCGTTGTCTCGATCAAGATGCCAATCATGTGGGGGAGTTTCCTCGCGAGCTCCTGGCCCGCGAAGCCGATCAGATTGGCACAGGGGACCATGGCGATGTAGGCCAGGCTGAACTTGAGCACATGCTGCCCCTCGCGCGTGTAGTGTATGACGATGGCGGCGATGACGAAGGGCCAGAGGATGTTGACGATCGATGACAGCGTGCAGGACGACTTCCAGATCACCTTGAAGAACCGAATAGGGTGGATGCCCGACCGTCCGCTATCCCCCGCCGTCTTGATGTGCAGGCCGCCCTTGATTCTCGTCCAGCCGTGATGGCCACCATGCCCGCCAGCTGGCGCTGGTGCGTGCTGAGGAAGCATAGGATCCTGGGTGGCGCGAGACTTCTCGCCGTCTCTCGAGGCTCGGCCGACGCCGTTTCTGGCTGGTCTCGCCATTGAGCTTTCGCCTGGCGGTCTGGAGGAGTCGAGTTGACGATGAAACTTGTTCGGAGGCCGACGATGATTCGTAAATGTGAAGGAAACACGCTCAACGCCACAAACGAAGAAATTCGAGCACCCAGTCAAGCTCGCAACAAAATCGAACGAATGGTGTAGAAACGGGACGGTTACGAAGACACGAAGATGAAGAAGCGGGAGGAAATGCAGTCTATTTTGTCTTGTGTTAAGTATCGTGTTTCAGTGAGTGGCCGGTGGCTTTCCCCATCTTTCCTTTAATAACACCTTTGATAATGTCAGAGCTAGTGGACATCCCTGTCCGGCTGATGATGCAGGGATTGACTGGTCCCTTTGGACTTTCCGAAGCTATTTATTCATCTCTTGCATGCTCAGGCTTTTGTTATTTGCCAACGCACCGGTGGCACCCATTCCTCAACATTCGATTGGCTTGGCTTTCGTCCCAGGCAAGAGAATCAGATCCGGTCCAAAACCTGGCAAGATGTTGGACTCCCAGAACACCGCGACGAAATACCACCGAAGGACCCAAATCCGCAAGCAAATCCGGGGCTCGTGTGCAACGTTGTCAGCAGGGCCCACGTCACTGCGCAGATCTTTCCTTCGTACGTAGATCTGCGGAAGCCAAATCGTATCGTACCGGTCGATTATCCTAAGCGAGCAATCTCCTCTGACTATAACTATCGATAACTGTTCTCCTACTACAAAGCAATCATCACGGATTCGACATGGTCCTTAGCAGACTGGACCTATTCTAATGAGTGGTCCTCAAATCGCTGCGGCTGGGCTGATGGTTCAGGTAAACATCGGCATTGATTGGCAAGCTGACAATGAAGACGCGCAACATGCCGCTCCAATTAGGCATTGCCCAGTGGGCCCCCATCATTCAAACCGCAGGCCTCCAAAGACCAGTCGACGATCAAGCGCTGATGCAGCCAATCTTGTCGCAACAATGCCAGCTATAGGGCTTCTAGAAAAGTGTTCCAACATGTCCTGGTATCTTCACCCGGCGTCTTATAGCTCCCGATGGAAATACTACTTGAGTATGTAATCTACCACCGGCGTTCCGGTGACAGCTTTCGTTTGCGAAGGGAACGATGCTACGGCCGTCTTTCCCAAGCATACTGATATTCCAACCATATTCCCCTATCGTTTTGTCTGCGCCGCCGCGGAGAATTCACGCGAACTTGCAGGCTGAAGAAAAGCGGAATTTTTCCAACACCGCCACCCTAGCGGACTGGCCGTTATGAGCATCAACCGCGCGCTACTTCAAACTACTAGTAGGCAGCTAGGTATGATGAGGATCCTTGAGCCTCAACATCGCCGCACACGTGCATCCCAATCCTACTACTACCCAGTGTCTAAGAGTCAAGACCCAGTGCCGTATACCAGGCAGCTGCCAGGGTATAATCTCGCTACTCACTTTCCTATCAATGAGAATAACTAGCCGCCAACAACCAATTTTGTATTAGCAATACTGACTTCGCACGCATTGCTATCGAGTCGTCGAATTCGGTGTTTCAGACACATCATGATCCTAGGCGCAGTGTAGGCACAAGACTAAAGGTCCTTTGCAGGGGTCGCCACTGTTTTCATGGTCGAGGTGATGAACCCGCGGTGAAGGGGCATTTAAGCATAAAGTAGCCTGCATACATAGACCGAAACTATAAAAGTATAAATCTTCCCCTGGGACCCCACCCCCTTTCCGCATAGATGCCAGTCTTCTTTTCCTCACGGCGGGGATATCTTGCAAACCAGCCAACTTGCCCATTCATTTATTACTGCCTTACATAGTAAACTTGTTGGCTTGTGAGTCAGATACTTGTCATCTCCTATGCCTCCTACGTCGATATATAACATAGCTCCTATAGGAGTCCTCCCTCCCCTTGGGTACATTTGTCCAGCGCCTACTGAGGTGGTGCAGTCGAAGTCAAAGTCGAAAAAGAGCAGGCAAAAAAAGAAGAGAAAAGATAAAAGATAAAAAGAAACTCCGAATCGGGGAATCGAACCCCGGGCTACCCGGAACGCATCTTATTTGATGAGATGAGAGCGGATAATGTTAGCCACTACACCAATTCGGATGACCTGTGAGGCTATTCATGATTGGATCCATGACTTGTTGAAGAAAACTTTTCTTAGCAGGCTACAAGTACTAACTACTAGGTATACCAACGTTGGGTTGGGTATGGTGCATGTAGTGCCATACTAGCACCGGCAAATGGCAGGTAACGATGTCAGCCCGCTAACTTAGTACACAGTCACCCGGTAAATGACTAATTCCTACTTAGGTGGGCCGCGGCTCACAGTAAACCAACAATTTCTACGTGCTATTTCACGTACTACTTCGTAGGTAATCTCTCAATAACCTCGCAAGTCAGGTGGGACATCTCACCAAAGCTCTGAAGGGCTTGTACTTTCCTGTCAGCCTGTCTTTCGATTGGTTTAAAATCGCTGGTCGGGAATTCTTGCACATTGTATCAACAGCCAGTTGATCACCAATGAGATAATTAAATACTATCCGAGCTTTGTCCGATCCAGAAATGGCCCCCTATCAGGAAGGGCGGGCGCCACTATGTGTGATCCTTGGCCATCCTCATGCACATCAAAAAAAAAAGTTCATAGGCTGATAATAAGGTATTCAGTCTATATCAAGCGGGTAGGTAGTCTATTGGATATTTGTTATCGTGCGCCGCCGTTGTCGCCGTGTTATGAGGGTATTCCAGGACACCCTTGAACTCCAGCGCCGATGCTTAGTTATCTACACCTAGTCGTACATATGAAGGTTATTCATTCCCCTTCATTTTCTTCCCGTCTCCCTTTCTCCCCTTCCCATCCCGCTTCCCCGCCATCCGTTCACCACGCCGTATGGCCCCCATCCATCACGAGGTTATTCCCCGTCATGAAAGAGCTCGCATTGCTGAGGAGGAACAGGGCGGCGCCCTTGAACTCGGTGGTCTCAGCGAGGCGGCCCATCATGTTCTCGGCCTCCCAGGTCTCGCGCAGGCCCGGCACCTCCTCGAAGTTCTTCTCGACCATGGGCGTGACGATGTGGCCGGGGCTGATGCAGTTGACGCGGATGCCGCCGGTGCCGTCGGGGCGGACGGGGCTCCACTCCATGGCGAGGCAGCGCGCCAGCTGCAGCACGGCCGCCTTGGACGAGTTGTACACGGGCGACAGCAGGCCCTTGTTGGCCACCAGCCCGCTCATCGACGCGATCAGGCAGATGCTGCCCCGGCACTTGTACCGGAACATCTGCCGCGCCGCCGCCGTCGCCGTCATCATCACCCCCGTGTAGTTGATCTCCAGCATCCGCGCCGCGTCCGCCGCCGTGTACTCCAGCGCCGGCGTCAGCTGCTGGATCCCCGCCGCCGCCACCACCCCGTCCAGCCGCTGGTGCTTGGCCGCGATCGAGGCGATCGCCGCGTCCAGCGCCGCCACGTCCACCACGTCCTGCTGCCGGTAGTTCAGCGTCCCGCCCCACTTGTCGGCCCGCCGCATGGCCTCGTCGTAGTCCTCGTGAGGCTGCTCCTCGCGGTCGAAACAGTAGACTATGATTGTTTTTGTTATCAGTATCTTTTCATCGTCCATTTCAGTTCCATTTTCAGTGGGTGAACTGGGAATAAGAGACGTAAATTCAAGGGTGTTAGGGAGGGGGGAGGTTTCACCACGCTGAGGGGTGAGTATTGGGTGTGCTGGGGATATAGGAGGAGGGGGAGGCGAGGCTCTTGCTTACGTACCGTTTGCGCCGGCCTCCACGAGACCCTCGGCAAGAGCGAGGCCCAAACCTCGAGCACCGCCGGTTACGATGCAGACCCTCCCTTCCAAGTCGAAGTCGGCGAATCGCCTGTTCCCGATGTGTTCTTCCCGGGATGGCGCGATCCCGATGGCCGGGTTCTCCCTGGAGGAGGGAGGAGTCGCCGTTGATCCCTTCTTCTGCCACTCCTGTATCGATCGGGTTTGCTGGGCCAGGCCGAATGCCGACGCGCCGCCGCCGCCGCCGCCGCGCTGAAGAATTGGGGGCCGTGCGCATAAGCCAGCGGCGGTCGCCGCGGTCGGTCGTCCAGAGTACCGCCGCACGGCTGTCTGGGCCAGTCCCATGAGCTTTGTAGACATGATTTGCTGTGTAGGATTGCTAGGTTATGTTACGCCTATGTGGTAAGGTATAACTAGTTCTGGAGGCGAGTTTCTATGCATTAGGTTGGAGATGTGTGCGAGAGTGTGTGCGAAAGCTTTCACGATGTCCACAAGGGCGTCAGCTCTGCTTGGCTACCTCTTTATATGTATTCGGCCTCTGACGGCTGGACGCCACGAGCAGGGAAGGGAAGGGTAAGGCGGGTGAGACAGACGGTGACCCGGACAAAAAGGTCCGCGGGCCAGAGTGTCGCAAACTTGGAAGCCATCGTCATACGAAGTAATACGCAACCAGCAATTCGGTAACTGATCTACGGAAGAAGCACGGCGTACCTACTTGTACCTTTTCGAATTCTTGATAATGCTTCTGGATGGATCTCTCGGATATAGCACAAGAAACGCCAGTCACTTTTGAATCCCCCACGATAAAGATTGGAGCTAGGACTGTGAGACACCCCGGGCCACACATCCTTTAGCGCAGTGTCGGTCAATCACGCCGCGGGCTTGGCTACGTTGCGACGTCACCAAAAATGGGGGAGGATCGGTTAGATCTTAGCCTGGCCACAGCCCGAGTCCCTGACGTCTGACCAGGCCTAGACAAGCAATGACTTGCCCTATAGCACACAGCCCTATACGCCCGGCAACAAACACAACCTGAGCATGCAGCCCATCATTATCGAGGATTGCCATGGTGGCTGGCTCACGTGTTGCAGGTCGTCTGCGCATGTACTACGTAGTACAAGTAGCCTGGTGTGTAGGTCGCAAAGAAGAACGAGCCCTGGATGGCATCAATGATGAAAGATCGAGAATTGTAGTTCCCCGATTTTGGCTCAAAAATTCCCCAGGCTCCTTACGTACAAGACGGTGTGTTCCAGCTCGCATTCTGTACATAGTACGAAGTACGTTAGAGATATAGAGGTAACATTGCGTGCCAAATGCGATACTAGTATGTGGGGGAAGGGCTCCCCCTAGTGAACCACAGCTTCGGTACCCCGGCAGAGCACATTCATCATCTTGACGTCCACTATGAATAATCGGGATTCTTGGCGCCGTGTGGCCTGCAAGTCAGCCAGGCTTTTGGTTACCGTCAGGAATGCGTAACTCGTTACCTGCGTACATATAGATTACCTAGGTACTTACCAACGTACGTACCTGAGATACATGGTACGCTATACATATATTGATGATAAACTGGTAGAGAAACAGTCAGAGATGACAGTTATATCCGGGCTTAGGCCCTTATGGACTTAGTATAAAGGCAAATCAACTTGACATATCTCATGACCATGCAAGCGCCCGCTCGCAAGTCATGCATTTGTTGACTTCTACCCTCTCATTCACGATCAATCCTATTGATATTATAGCTCTTTAAGTAGTAATAGGGAAAGGGGTAAGCGGGAAATCCATACATTCATATATACCCGAAAAAATGAAGAGGCGGCAAGTACAGAGGTAGACTAATATCACGGGACTACTATGGTATAACACCCAGTCGCTGTCGCTTCTGCCCGTTTATTAAAAGACCAGAGTCCGTATAAGTTTCCTTATATGGATGATCGGGACATATATATCACGGCAGAAGCACAGCACAGTCTTGATCTTCCCACCTCACCCGTACATACATCAATCGTGCTCTTGTCCTTCTGCAAAGCACCTGGATACCGTTCAGAATCTGTTAAACAAAGTAAATATGATCATGTGCAAATACAATCCCATATTCTTATGTGATCAAATCAGCTAACAGCAATGCAAATAGGACAGGTTGGCTGGCGGAACTATGAGCTTGTTTGACAAACTTCGACATATGTGTGGGGCCTGAAAATGTTCGGTCAGTGGGAATGGAATGAAGCTTACTTATGGATAATGAGAGCTTAAGGAATGATGTAATTCCAGTAAATACAGAAGATGGGTTCCCTAGGGAGTCTATTGCAACGAAGCTTCTCTGCGGTATTGGACTAGCTTGCAGAGCCATTCTTTCCTTCCCTTTCCTTTCCATCGGTATACCATCAGCCCAAGAAGCCCTGGTGAACAAGCTACAGTTGCATACTCATCAGGATTATAGGAAGCTGGGCTCGGAAGCACATACGTAAGCGTTGAGTTCCATTAAATCAACAGGCAACGCGAAGATCATCATTTGCCTGAAAATTCATTCATATGATGACTCACTATGTTAGCAAGCATAACGAATTACCTGATCCTTTGGCATTGACGACACATTTCACAACAGTTCAAAACATCGTCATCTCAAGGCTCAGTCTCAGTCCCCTATACTTCTACATTTGTCGGCATCTAGTAGATAGGGATAGTGCTAGCTTATCTGTCTACTGCCTCTTGTCGCCCTCTGAACACCTTGGTAAGTGCATGTTTCAACAGACCACGACCCAAGTTTCCCAAGAGCTTTGTTTGTTATCGTCCCTCCCGTAATCTACCTCCTATCCATGCCCCTTCCCAATATTGCTTGCCTGTTTAGCGAACGGTGGTATACATAACAAACCGGGTGAAAGACTAGGAAGTTTGAAATCGTTATCCGTCCTTGCTAGACTGCAAGTCGGGATCAGCTAGCTTGGGACACTCAAGCAAGTAGTATAGACTTGTATAGAGGTTGCTGTTATTGTTGTCTTTGTAGAGCGGAGTAACGAGATATATTCGTGCTCTCCAATTGATTGGCAATGCCATGCATATGTAGGCAGCCTACTGCCTCCGTGAGGAAATTACCACGGGTCTCTTCTGGTCCTCATAACCCTTCTCACCCCTATTCTGTCCATCTCCGGTAGTGGAAATGGAGGCCCGGTGCTGAGCCTCATGCAACCCACGACATCCACACCCCCTCGTTAAGATCCCCAAATAAAAACCCTAGGGCCCGCACAAAGCTTATATGTGTAGTGGAAGTCGACTACTACTACTATCATCGACCAGACAATTGGGGTTGTAATGCCTCTAGTTGCGACGG